GTCATGTATAAACGGTATTTTTAATACGGTAGACAGCAGAAAGTTTTAAAGATTTAAATCTGCAACTCATGCAGAAAAACGGGAAAGCATTGTGCAGCTGTTTCAGCTTTCTTGAAGATATCAGTGGTGTATCTTTCACTTAGGTTGCTGATTCCTTTTTTGAGAAATCGGTAAGAAGAATGTAAGAAAGAGTATCCCCAACGAGAATGAAATATCACTACCCAAAACAAAGAATGGGGGATAAGTTGTGTTTTTTGTAAGTTTCATGATCATATCGCTCTCATCTGAACAGCCTTTCTTTCCTCGTGCAATAATTATTCCGGTTGACCTACATCAAATGGAGGAAGATCTGGATTCGGGTTCCGTGTGAACACGTAGGTCAGTTCGAGCATGATAATTCGGATGCATCTAGCCTGCACTAGCAATTCACTCGTCTTGCACGTCAGGTTTCAACGGTTCAAATATTGCCGTGGCCTAGACTGATGATGTCCTATAGAACCAAACCTCCCATTCAGTTCTTCCTCCTTTTGTGTAGATAAACAGGGTTAATTGCCAGGACGTGAAGAAGACTGTTTAACCAAGGGTGAGGTGGGGTACAAATTGTACACATCCGGCGACCGGATAATTCTCTCTAAGTGAAGGCAAATTACACTGATGATTAGACACCCGTAGCTAAATGGCAATGCGCATTATCTCCTTCTTGAAAGGTCGCACGTTTCAACTGCTACAGAGAATACGTTGAGTGTCGCTATTGATTATCAACAAAGGTGAAGTAGGTGCTTTGTAGCTTCCTTGGCATTGTTGACCTTCCTTTCACAGTGAAAATAAGATTAGTGGTCCTTTACTTTTCATTCTCGTCGGGTAAAAACGACTGCTATAATATAGTGACCATAAATCAATCTGTGCCATAAAAACTATACATTTCTATATTTTTTCGCACATGAAGAACTTACTGTATTGCGGAGGCCCTTCACAAGGAGTATGCGGATTTCTACTATGGCTTTACTTATGAAGACTATTACAAAGATCCGGCAGATTCGATTCGTAATGTTTTCTCCATCCACAAATCCTACTACGATGAAGGGTATCTGACTATCATGCATTTGATGATCAACCTTTGTCAGTGCCTGCGGAAATACGTAAGTCATTTCATGAGGTTACACTATCATGGTTACCTGGTCATCCCAACTTGCAGTTAATGCGGATTCCATATTTTTCATCTGTTTCCTAAGTAGCTGTTCTGACTCATAAACTTCTTTACTGTGATGTGAAGCTGGTTGGTCTATGTTGATGC